CCCCCCGCACTCCACTCCATACTTAAATTTTTACAAGTACTTTTGTCTAACAGCCCCCAGGCACAGCTCCCCAAAAGGGGGGACAGGTTGTGATAGGGCAGTACCTGTAAGAAATGTAAATTACTTTCACCCCTGTCTGTATTACTGAAGTGACACAGGCATAAAGCAAGGGCATATGAAGTGAGATGCATGCTGTTTGCATACAACATTGATTGTGAGAGCTCTGCACCTTCTCTGCATTCAAAGTGCTTCTACAGTTCAATGGGCACACCCCGCACATTTTAGGTGTGGAAGCGAAATTAGCTGTCCTAGGAGACCCTCTTCATTTCAACAATATTGTAGCCCTCTTCTGCAGACCATTCATTAGCCTAAGTTGCCCACTGCTGCTCTGGAGCAAGGAGCGTCATTTTCTCTGTGCATGTACAGCGCCTTGCACAATGGGACCCTGACTGGGGTGAATTCCCTAGTATACTAACTACTGCAATAAAAATGTTAAATAAACAGTAACTTTCACAGCAACAGGAGTATATCACAGATATATTATTAATTAATGACAGCTGGTAGGGGGAAGATCTGGAGGTGGAAAGACAGAAGCATGTATTTATTTAGCTCAGAGGGGTAGCCGTGTTAGTCTGAATCTGCAAAAGCGGCGAGGAGTCCTGTGGCACCTTATAGACTAACTGAAGTGTTGGATAGTGATGTGTTGGATGCTCCAACACTTCAGTTAGTCTATAAGGTGCCACAGGACTCCTAGCCCCTTTTCTTTAGCTCCTCACCCTCTCTGTTTAAAAATCTAATTTAGCAAAGACTGGACATGTGTTCCAAAATACAAGCGGCACATTATAGGACTCAAAAGATGCAAATGCATATTTGTGTGGTGTGAAAGGGAATGTGCGACTAGTGTGTCGGGTGTGTGTGGTGCACACGTGGGTGTGACACAGACTACCAAGGAGCGTGTCAGTGCCATGACTGCAATGAAAGCATGTTTCAGTCTCGGTGTGCATGGGGGTGCCTGTCAGTCTGCAAGGCGGTGCTGGGGGCGGGGTGCCACGGCGGGTGTTACACCGGCGCTCGCGGTGTCTCACTCACCGACGGTGGCGATATAGCAGGCGGGGGCGGGGGGGGGGGCCCCGGGGGGGCCCCC